TGTCCTTCAGAAAGTAAATGAGACTCCAACTTCCCTTCTATTGCACAGATTTGCACAATGGTGATAAACCGCAACTCTCTCCCTGCTCAGCCTTCTTCCTGGCATGGAACAGGTTTTTCAAAATGGGCATCCACAGGACAGTGCCACCTGCAGGGCACTGTGAAGCTGGACCAGGGTTTTCTATCTAGGTGATAACTATGGTCTGCCAAGTTTGATCTGTGTGTGTGAAGCCTCAGGCAGACCCTTAAGCCTTGAAGGGGAAAGATGGTCTGTGTCCCTGCAAAGTCTGGATGCAGGGGGAGGGAGCAGTGAGCAATGGGCAGGAGTTGCTTCCAGTAAAGTCCCGGAGAGGACAGTGGGGTTTGCTGAACCCCCCTTCTAAGCATCCTGGTCAACCACAGTCTGAGAGAAGAGCGGTGGGGAGGGAGCCAGCTTAGAACTCTGCCTGGCAAGGGGTTGAGACACCAGGGGTTGAAATTCAGTGATGGCAAAGGAAGAGCTCTCCTCTTCCAAGTCAGCAGGTACATCTTAGTCTGGTGACCTTGGGTAAGTCCCTTCACCCCTTGGAGTCTCAGTTGCCGAACAGCAAAATGGGAGAGTCATCCAAGTGACACGAGATCTTTCAAGATAAAACTAGACAACATGTGTTAAAAACACGAAACTAGACTTTGACCACATGATTCAGCAATCATGCTCCTTGGTGTTTACCCAGAGAGGCTGAAAACTTATGGCCAAACCAAAACTTGCACACAGATGGTTATAGCCGCTTCATTCATAATGTCTAATACTTGAAAGCAACCAAGACTTCCTGCAGTTGGTGAATGGATAAACTATGGCATACCCAGACCATGGAATATTGTTCAGTGCTCAAAGGAAATGAGCTCTTAAGCCATGAAAAGACATGGAGGAACTTTAAGTGCACATTACTAAGTGAAAGAAGCCAATCTGAAAAGGCTACATGCTGTAGGATTCCAACTGTTTAACATTCTGGAAAAGGCAAAACGATGGAGACAAAAAAGAAATCAGGGTTGGGGAAGGATGAATAGACTAAGCACAGTGGATTTTCAAGGCCGTGAAACTATTCTGTGTGATACTACAAGTGTGAACCATTTGTCCAAACCCATACATTAGACGTTTGTCCAAACCCATAGAATGTATAGCACCAAGAATGAACCCTAATGTAAACTCTGGACTTTGGCTGATAATGCTATGTTAATGTAGATTCATCAGTGATAACAAATGGACCACCCTGGTGGGGATACTGATAGTGCAGGAGGTTATATGTGGGTGGAGAGGGGAATGGGGAGAATCTCTGTACTTTCTAATCAATTTTTCTGTGAACCTAAAACTACTCTTAAAAAAAAGAAAGTATACATATGGATTCTCTATAAAGGAAACTTTTTTTTTTTTTTTCAGAGTCTCACTCTTGTTGCCCAGGCTGGAGTGCAAGAGCGCCATCTTGGCTCACTGCAACCTCTGCCTCTGGGGTTCAAGTGATTCTCCTCCCTCAGCCTCCCGAGTAGCTGGGATTACAGGCATGCACCACCATGCCTGGCTAATTTTGTATTTTTAGTAGAGACGGGATTTCTCCATGTTGGTCAGGCTGGTCTCGAACTCCTGACCTCAGGTGATTGGCCCACCTTGGTCTCCCAAAGTGCTGAGATGACAAGCATGAGCCACCATGCCCAGTTAAAGGGAACTTATAATTAATTCTATAGGTGTTATTTCTATAGTAACACCTGTGGAAATAAAGGACTGCTACTCACAACATGCCACAGACTGCTATTTTAGAAGTGAGCTTCCAATCACAGCTCTCGAATCACACATGAAAATAGGACAATCCATCTATAGGAGTGGTGTGGAGATCCCCAGAGGAGGTCCCCCAAAGACTGTAGGGATGACAAGCCTTTGGAAGGCCATGTGTGGTGACTCCACTTGGATCCAAATGAGGCCCTTCACAGAACTCACAGTCCCATCCCCACATAAGAATGCCACAGTAGTGTCCAAAGGTTAGGAAGGAAAGCTGGGAGTCAGGTTTCGACTTAAGAGGGAAGGGCAAGGAGCTTTGGCAAAGGCTTGAGGAGCAGTAGAACGCCTGGGAAATGCTTGCTGTACGTTTCTTGGAGCCAAGATTTAGTAACCTGCTGGTATTTCTGATTTTTTATTCTTTTCTACCTTCCTTGCCCTCCAAAGAGAATGTTGTGTTTATCCACTCAGCATTAAATTAAAAAAACTAAATGTGATAATATATGTTAAGGCAGTATATACATTTCTAGTGACATTATTTCTATTACTTTAAGTCATCGTGGAAACCCTGAGGTTGTTGCCTAAGAAGACTTGCCTCTTGGCCAACCATCCCTGCTCTACATTTTAATAATGGAGAATAGGGTGGAAAGAGACAGACTGGATGGGAGAGGCTGAAGGTTAAAAAGAGGTTAAAAAGAGGCAGGGGTGGGAGGGAAGGAGAAAAGAGGAAAAATAAGCAGGGCAGGTATGGCAGAGTGCTGAGGTGACGGGTTGCATGGAAAGAGACCCCAGAGAAGCTGAGGCAGAGAGGGAAATGGAGAGGATTGGAAGTAGACTGCGGAGGCCATGGGCTGGAATCCCTTTCAAGTTCTTCAGGAAATGTGAGTAAATATTGGAATAAACCTGGGAAACCTTGATAATTCATGATGGCTCTTGGACACACGTATACGTGACCCCATGCAGAGAACAGAGCATAGGTCCTCTGGGGATCTCCACACCCACTCCGACAGTCTGATTGTCCTATTTGCATGTGTGATTCAAGACTTGTGATTGGAGGCTCACTGCTGAAGTGTAGTCTGTGGCATGTTGTCAGTATGGCAGCCTTTATTAATATCAAATACACAATTCTGGGATAATAAAAGCACTGAGGAATGGTGGTGGTGATTTATGATGATGACATAAAATACTGATGGGGTACTTACCATGTGCCAGGCTCTATGCTAAGTGTGTAGGTGCATTTGATGTTACAAACACAACACTACAGGGCAGGTATTCTTGTGATACTTAAACCAACAAACAGGTGAGGAAACTGAGGCTGAGAGAGGGTAAGTGATAAGTCCAAAGACATTTCTATTAAGTGTCAGAGCCGGGTGTGTTACAGTGGGTAGGTAGTCGGGTACGAGGAGGGCAGGAGAGGGCCCCTACCCAAACACCAGGAGTGCCAGGCAACCATCAGGTCATGGTCAGGCTGTTGTTAACTGTCTCTCTAACGTAGTAAATGGTCCCAGCCAGCACCAGGGAAAAGCAGTCTCCTAATAGGTAGAGGGCACCTGAAACTGGTGATCAGCAGCTTCCCAATAAGATCTCAGGAGTTGGGAGAAATAACGCAATAGCAAAGACCTGGAACCAACCCAAATGCCCATTGATGATAGACTGGACTGGGAAAATGTGGCACATATACACCATGCCAACATTGAAAACCCCATGTCAAAAGGTCAAACCATGCCCCTGATCTCCTGAGTTGCCCACTTGGCCCTCTTTCAAGTGTACTCTCCCTTTTTTCATTCCTGCTGTAAAGCTTTTTTTTTTTTAATTGCATTTTTGGTTTTGGGGTACATGTGCAGAACATGCAAGATAGTTGCATAGGTACACACATGGCAGTGTGTTTTGCTGCCTTCCTCCCCTTCACCCACATTTGGCATTTCTCCCCAGGCTATCCCTCCTCAGCTCCCCCCGCCTGCTGTCCCTCCCCTATTCCCCCCAATAGACCCCAGTGTGTAGTACTCCCTTCCCTGTGTCCATGTGTTCTCATTTTTTCTCACCCACCTATGAGTGAGAATATGCGGTATTTCATTTTCTGTTCACGTGTCAGTTTGCTGAGAATGATGTTCTCCAGATTCATCCATGTCCCTACAAAGGACATGAACTCATCATTTTTGATTGCTGCATAATATTCCATGGTGTATATGTGCCACATTTTCCCAGTCCAGTCTATCATTGATGGGCATTTGGGTTGGTTCCAGGTCTTTGCTATTGTAAACAGTGCTGCAATGAACATTCATGTGCATGTGTCCTTATAGTAGAACGATTTATAGTCCTTTGCATATACCCAGTAATGGGATTGCTGGGTCAAATGGAATTTCTATTTCTAAGGCCTTGAGGAATCGCCACACTGTCTTCCACAATGGTTGAACTAATTTACACTCCCACCAGCAGTGTAGAAGTATTCCTATTTCTCCACATCCTCTCCAGCATCTGTTGTCTCCAGATTTTTTAATGATCGCCATTCTAACTGGCGTGAGATGGTATCTCAATGTAGTTTTGATTTGCATCTCTCTAATGACCAGTGATGATGAGCATTTTTTTCCTGCTATAAAGCTTTTACTAAACTTTCCCTCCTGCTCTAAAACTTGCTTTGATCTCTCCTTCTGCCTTATGCACCTCAGCTGAGTTCTTTCTTCTGAGGAGACAAGAACTGAGGTCGCTGCAGACCCCTATGGATTCACTGCTGGTAACATACTTTGGTGGCACGTGACTCAGATACCTTCCACTGCTAACAGGTATTGAATTCACATAGCATAATTTCAAAGCAGAGGCTCTGAAATGGATGCATGTATGACATGCTGATGGAGTGGGAGGTTGCCATATAGTAGAAAATTCAGTTATTCCTTAAAAAAGGGTGCTGGGAAGCCAACTGCACTAACCCAGGTCACTTACCCCCAGCAAGGCTAGATGGCTTCTGCTGGGCTTCTCTCAGCAGAGGGCTGCTACTTTCCATTCAGGAGGGATTAAGATGTCTTCGTGCTGTTTTCAAAGTCCTTCACCAGGTGCTGCTGACCTCTCCTCCTGGCCACTCTGAAGCTCAAGCCCTGATGTGGCATCACAAATTAACACTGGCAAATTTGGTTCAGTGGCTCCTTGATCCCGCCATCCTGCCATCTTAACTGGATGCTTTTCTCCAAGCCGTAACCAGTTGGTAACACTGGACCTCATTTAACTTGGATTCTTGCTAATTTAAAGCAATGTGACATCAGATGGCCAAAAAGCATCAGAGACAAGTTCCAGGAGGACAGCAAGGCTTTGTAGTGACATTGGAACCACGGTGCTCTGGGTGAGCTTCAGAGGCACGTTGAGGCAGGAGACACGGTGCAGAGAGCCTAGAGAGAGAAGAGGTGAATGCTGGTCACCACCCACCAGGAGGGCTGGGATTGTGAGAAAATGTGAGACGCAGCCTGGAGAACCCAGGAATAGCAGGCAGTAGTGAGTTCGAGGGAGCTGAGGTCCCTGCAATTTCAAGTTGAGGTGAAGACAATGAAATGTTTTCCTCCCAGGCTGATGTAGCCCCAGAATCACAGGTCTTATTGCTAACTCATTTGTCTTAGGGTGATGCCTTCACTAATGTCACAAAGTCTTTGTGCAGGTCATGTTTCTGAGTCCACATTTGTTGTCTGAAGTAGCTCCAAGTCCAAAGCCCAAATTCGTAGAACAACTCACTGAATACATGTTTCATGGAGATTTATACCGAGCAGCTCATGGTCAGGGAAAGAATTTGAAACATAGAAATTTCCTCCCCTGCAAAAAGACTACAAACTGGCAGATTTCTAAGGGTGATAGTCAGCCTATGCTCTCCTCTGAGAACTTCTTAGTGTATTAGTGAAAGACTAATTGTGTCTCTATCTCTGATTACCACTGGCTGCAATGAGGACCAGACTTCCCTTGGAGCAACAGGATGAGGCTGGAGGGAGGACTCCATGGGGCCATTGATTCCCTCATCATTATGGGTCAAGGCAGTTGTCTGAGAGTCAAAGACCCATTAGCGATAATGCAGTCAAAATGGAAACTCAAAATGGTTCAAGCCCAAGGCAAGAGCAGAATCTGTGAATTAAGAGATTGAGTCATCCTTTCTAAACGTAGAAAAAATACATCAATTTATAGATTGTCATCTCAGCACCTGAGAGGGAGTACAGAGAAACAGAAAAAGTAGGAATTTGTAGAAGCTGAAGTTGGCTTGTACTATGCTAGATTATTTCTAATAATAATGCTTACACAATATTACCATAAGTCAGGCACTGTCCCAAACCTCTTATACATGTTAGCTCATTTAATCTGACCACTGTGTGACCACCTCACTCATATGACCAGTGCGGGCTGCCTACTCCTCTAGGTCTCTCCTTGTTTTATAGTGTAATGCTTTCAGGACCAATGGAAACCACAGGTGACCTGGGCTCAAGTGATGTAAGGAGTAACTTCGTCATTAGCCTGTACTGAATGCTTGCAAATCTGTCATGAGCCACTAAAGATGTTGACATTGCCTAAATGCAAATCTGTCTGTAAGGGATGATCCTTTACATAAAAAAAAGTCTGTTAATTATTAACGGTATGTCAGGCACTTACATAAACATTATTTCATTTAATTTCCACAGTCTTACAAGGCAGGTGGTATTTGATGGAAACAGAGGCTAAGAGAGACCAAGAAACTCACTCAGGTTCTCCCAGTTAAAAAGTGGCAATACCAGGATTTGAGCCCAAATCCTAACTCTAACAATACCCAAGAGATTCCTCCTCCTGTACCTCATGGTCTTAGTACTATGGTAATATCTTTGCATTTATTACTACTTAACTATGTCTTTTATTTATTTATTTATTTGTTTATTTTTGAGATGGAGTTTTATTCTTGTTGCCCAGGCTGGAGTGCAATGGCGCAATCTCAGCTCACTGCAACGTCTGTCTCCCAGGTTCAAGCAACTCTGCTGCCTCAGCCTCCCGAGTAGCTGGGATTACAGATGCCCACCACCATCCCTGGCTAATTTTTTTGTATTTTTAGTAGAGATGGGGTTTTACCACGTTGGTCAGCCTGGTCTCAAACTCCTGACCTCAGGTGATTCACCCGCCTCGACCTCCCCAAGTGCTGTTATTACAGGTGTGAGCCACCGCACCCGGCCTTAACTATATATTTTAATAAATAACAACTTTTAAAAACATAACTACAGTACAATAATCGCACCCAACCAAATTAACAATTTGTAATAAAGACCATGTTCCATTTCCCCTGGTTGTCTCAAATACACATATTTATTTGTTTATTTTTAATATATACTTTGTAGTTGGCTTTTTCTAATCAGTATCTAAACAAGATTTATACACTGCTTTTGGCAGATATGTCTTTAATTTTTAAAAAATTTGAAAAGGTTTCAAACCTACAGACAAGTTGAGAGGATAGTATAATGCACATCTGCCTACCTTTCAACAAGAGTCACCGAAGTTGGTATGTCTCTTAAATCTCTTTTCATCTGTCATTGTTCCCCATCTCTTTTTAAAAAGAGCCATTTATCTTTAGATGAAAATAGGTAATACGACCCGTAGAATTTCCCACATACTTAGTATTTCCGATTAATTACTCATCGTGTCACTTAGTGTATTCCTGTCTCATATTTTCTATGAACTGGGAGTTTTTACATAATTCATTACATTGAGGTTTTTGGTTTTTGGTGGGGAGAATAATATTCCATGATAATATTTCATGGTGATGTTATATACTTCCTTTTGTATCCACCAGGGTGCACATAACATCTGGCCAGTTTAACTTTGATCTTTGAGTTCAGCTGGTATCAGCTCAATCCATGCATTGTAGATTTCCTCATCAATTTTTAACTTAATGGCTTTAGCAGTCAGTGCTATTTTATCATTCTGATTGCATTTACTACTTGTGCTTCTGTAAAAAATCAAATAGCAGTCTGGTGGTTTGAACGAGAAGAAGACGGAACCAGAGCCGGGTGCGGGCAGTGGACACAGTTCCACCGACAGCAGAAGGTGACAGTGAATGTATACTCAACGTCAGTGACCAGTGATAATCTAGGTCGACATGACATGCTGGCCTGGATCAATGAGTCTCTGCAGTTGAATCTGACAAAGATTGAACAGTTGTGCTCAGGGGCTGCCTATTGTCAGTTTATGGATATGCTGTTTCCTGGCTCCATTGCCTTGAAGAAAGTGAAATTCCAAGCTAAGCTAGAACACGAGTACATCCAGAACTTCAAAATACTACAAGCGGGTTTTAAGAGGATGGGTGTTGACAAAATAATTCCTGTGGACAAATTAGTAAAAGGAAAGTTTCAGGACAATTTTGAATTTGTTCTGTGGTTCAATAAGTTTTTTGATGCAAACTATGATGGAACAGACTATGACCCTGTGGCTGCCAGACAAGGTCAAGAAACTGTGGTGGCTCCCTCCCTCGTTGCTCCAGCTCTGAATAAACCGAAGAAACCTCTTAGTTCTAGTAGTGCAGCTCCCCAGAGGCCCATCTCAACACAGAGAACTGCTGCGGCTCCTAAGCCTGGCCCTGGTGTGGTGCGAAAGAACCCTGGTGTGGGCAATGGGGATGACAAGGCAGCTGAGTTGATGCAGCAGGTCAACGTATTGAAACACTGTTGAAGACTTGGAGAAAGAGAGGGACTTCTACTTCGGAAAGCTACGGAACATTGAATTGATTTGCCAGGAGAATGAGGGGGAAAACGACCCTGTATTGCAGAGGATTGTAGACATTCTGTATGACACAGATGAAGGCTTTGTGATACCTGATGAAGGGGGCCCACAGGAGGAGCAGGAAGAGTATCGACAGCCTGGACCAGCAGAGCAACATCTGAATTCTTCACTCCAAATCATGTGCTTAACTGTAAAATACTCCCTTTTATTATCCTTAGAGGACTCACTGGTTTCTTTTCATAAGCAAAAAGTACCTCTTCTTAAAGTGCACTTTGCAGACATTTCACTCCTTTTCCAATAAGTTTGAGTTAGGAGCTTTTACCTTGTAGCAGAGCAGTATTAACATCTAGTTGGTTCGCCTGGGAAACAAAGAGGCTGATTGTGGGGCTCACTGTGCGGATGCGGGTCACACTGAGTGCTGGAGGAGGTGTTATGTTATACGCTGAGGCGGCAACCTCAGTGGAGTAATGTAAAGACTGAATTGAATTTTAAGCTAATGTGAAATCAGAGAATGTTGTAATAAATAAATGCCATAAGAGTATTTAAAATATGCTTCCATATTTCAAAATATAAAATGTACATGACAGGAGATTTTGCATTTGACATTGTGTCTGGGAAGGAAGGGTCAGACCTTGGACCCTTTGGAACCTGCTGTCACAGGTCTTACAGGGCTGTTTGAATCCTCACAGGCCTAGGCTTTGGTCTAAAAGGAACATTTAAAAAGTTGCCCTGTAAAGCCATTTGGTGTCATTGACCAGTTGCATCCTTGCTAAAAGGCAAGAAGCATCGTTGCCTGAATAATAGAGGATGTGTTTCAGCCCTGAGATGTTTGAGTTGAAGAGCTCGGTTTTCATTGAGCATTTCTCTATTTTTCCAGTTGTCCCCGAAATTTCTATGTATTATGTTTTTGGGGAAGTGAGGTGTGCCCAGTTTTTTAATCTAACAACTACTTTTTAGGACTTGTCCACATCTCTGGGATTTCAATGGCAATTGTATCCCATTTTACTGTCTTTTGGGTTTACATTTACCATGTTTCTCTTCTCTGGTCCCCTGCCCATTGGCGACTCCTCTTTGCAGCAGGCAGGTGATCATGCTGCAGGTTCTTTCTGGGCCTCTGGCAAAGGGAGTGGTCGGTGAAGGCCATCGTTACCTTGGGATCTGCAAGGCTGGGGTGTTTTCGGTATCTGCTGTCCACAGCTCTCCACTGTAATCCGAATACTTTGCCAGTGCACTAATCTCTTTGGAGATAAAATTCATTAGTGTGTTACTAAATGTTAATTTTCTTTTGCAGAAAATACAGTACCATGTCTGAATTAATTATTAATATTTAAAATATTTCATTCCTTAGCTCTCCCTGATTTGCTTTGCCCACAGCCTATTCAGTTCCTTTTTTGGCAGGATTCCGCAAAACGTGTCTCACCCACTACTGAAATTGTTCAGCCCCTGATGTATTTGTATTGATTTGTTTCTGGTGGTAGCTTGTCCTAAAATGTGTGTAGAAGGCAAGTGTTTTATGATAAAATTGTTGTGTAGTGCATGCTCTGTGTGGAATTCAGAGGAAAACCCAGATTCAGTGATTAACAATGCCAAAAAATGCAAGTAACCAGCCATTGTTCAAATGACAGTGGTGCTATTTCTCTTTTGTGGCCTTTTTGACTTTCGTTGCCCTAAAATTTCATTTTATTGGGAACCCGTTTTCCACCTGGTCTTTCTTGACAGGGTTTTTTTCTACTTTAAATAGTTGCTAAATAAAATTCTGTATTTCAAGAGTAAAAAAAAAAATAAAAATAATCAAATAGCAACTATTTGATTGTTATAAGGTACAGTTTGTATAAGGAAGGCAGAATATTTGATTCTTTTTCTTTATTAGTCAATTTTCAGAATGATGAGTTGGTGTCCTAGCAACTTAAGGTGACCAAGGAGGTTTTACCTATTGTGGCAGAGGGGGAAGGGTGAAGTGGGATGAGAAGTATTATTTTTGAACCCAAGGACTTTTTATATTTAATATATTTCAATCCATTGCAGTAATTTTTTTATTTTACTTATTTTTGGAGACAAAGTTTTGCTGTGTCACACAGACTGGAGTGCAGTGGAGTGATCACAGCTCACTGAACTCTCAAACTCCTGGCCTCAAGCAATCCTGCCCTCTTAGCTTTCCAGAGTGCCTGGATTATAGGTCTGAACCTCTGCACCTGGCCAGTTTTTGTAATTTTTAAAACATGTCCAAGCTGTCTCATTTCTGGTCAATGGAAACCTCTTTAAGTTGGCTACCATATCATTTGATATGATCACAGTAATCTTTGACTGCGTCCTTGCTTTTAGGCATGACAAGATGTTCCAGATCAAGAAGCCCTTGTTCTTTTTAGTGGAAAATGGTATTTAGAGTCCACAGTCTAAGAACTAGGGGTGTTTCTTGTTATTAAGTTATCACTGCTTCTAAATGTTTTCAGTGGACATAAACAGAAAATATTAATTTTATAGAAAAACAAAACCAAATTATGAGGTTGGGCATGGTGGCTTATGCCTGTAATCACCGCACTTAGGGAGGCTGAGGCAGGCCGATCACCTGAGGTCAGGAGTTCAAGATTTGCCTGGCCAAGAGGGTGAAACCTCATTTCGACTAAAAATTATAAAAATTAGCTGGGCGTAGTGGTGGGCGCCTATAATCCCAGCTACTCTAGAGGCTGAGGCAGGAGAATCACTTGAACCTGGGAGGCAGAGGTTGTAGTGAACTGCACTCTAGCCTGGGGAACAAGAGTGAGGCTTTGTCTCAAACCACCTCCCCCCAACCAAAATCATGAGTTAATACTGATATTTTCAACTTAAAGTCAGAATTTCAGGATTGTATTTGATCTTCCTGATTTTATAATTTGTATTTCTTTGTTTTATCTCCTTACACTGTAAATCTGGGTTCCATCCCAACAATATTGAAGAAGTTGCTTGTTTTATCTTATTTTCTGGTTTCAAAATAACAATATCACTATATTTTACTACCTACAATTAGACCACTGGATGCAGAGTAAGATTTATTGATATCTCTGTGATACTTTTTGATTCTCAAGAAGATTCCACAAAAGATGTATAGTAAAAATATTGTGGTTTCAAGTCATTTGAAATAAGCCTTCTTATGTGGTCATGTTAAAAACTAGATATACAATTAGATTTCCCTTTCAGGTTTGTTATTTTGGGCGAATTTTTTATTTAGTTAATTAAAATTATATAAAACATTTACTGGTTTCAAAAGTCAACTCTAAAACAAGGTTCTTTCAGAAAAGTCTAGCTTCAACTCAACTCCCTTCCTACTCTCTCCCTCTGGCAATGGTAACTTATTTTGAATGTGTGTCTAGAAGATCAATGACCTGAAGCTACAGCAAATTCTTTAGAAATCAGACAAAACTGAGGACTAGGTCCTCATGTCTAGGATGCAGAGCCTCCAGCAGCATAGCCTAGTTAGTTACAAGGGTACTCTAGGCCATCTTCAACACTGGGAAGGCCAAATCCTAACTGCGTCATCTCCACTGAGGCATTCACTCATTCATTCATTCTTCCATTTATCTGTTCAGCACAGCACTAGGTTCTAGGGATACAGAGATAAATATACACTAGTCCCTTCTCCACATGGCAGAGCTGGATATGGAGACAGATCACTTGGAAGCAATATATTAAGAGCTGTAATATGATAGGTTTTGATGGCCAAGGTTGTCAGGATGGACCTGAGGAAGGGGCTTAACTCAAACTGGGGCAGGGCAGAGGTCACCAGTAAAGGTTTCCTTGTAGTATCTAGGTAGTATCTAGAGGTAGTATCTAGACAGAGTTTTAGAAACGAGAAAGTGTTGATTGAGTTAAGGCTGGGAAGGATGGAAGGTGAGAAGGCAATGCAGAGAGAGGAAATAGCAAACTAAGGCCCAAAGGTGTGAGTGCGCCAGGAGCCTGGAGAGAGTAATGAGTGATTTGCTCTTTGAGGCAAAGTGAGAAATAAAAAGAAGCAAGACTAGTAGGATGTCAGCAGCAGGATCTCAGAGGGCTCTGGGGTGGGCTAGGCCTGTCCAGCTGTCAGGGTTAGTTCTTTCCCTACCACCTCCAGCTCCCAGTAATGGGTTAGACCACGCTCGAGCGATGCTACTTGTCTGCATGGCACAGGCCCATTGATTCACATGAGCCTATTGCTCTACTCTGTGTATCCTCTGAAGTACTAAGATGCCAGGAGGTCCGGGGCTTCCCGTCCTGCCATTGGTTATTCTCTGGGTAAGAAAGGCAAGTCCATTCCTGTATCATCTAGAATCAACTATGAACCAGGAAGTAAGATTGGGATAAAACAGAACAACAAAGGCAACAACAAAAGACACAATTCTAATGCAATGTGTTTTAAACTTTTGGGTGGCGACCCTCAGTAAGAAACACGTTTTATGTGGTAATTTTGTTCAAACACATAAACACATACATTCACAATCACATGCTGTATTAGGGTTCTCCAGAGGGACAGAATCAATAGGATATACATATCTATAAAAGGGAGTTCGTAGGAAGAACAGGCTCACATGAAGACAAGGTGAAATCCCACGGTAGATCATCTGCCAGCTGGGAAAGAGGGAAAATGGTAGTGACTCGGGCCAAGACTGAAAGCCTCAAAACCAGAGAAGTCCACAGCGCAGCCTCCAGTCCGCCACCGGAGGCCTGAGCGCCCCCAGCAAGCTACTGCTACACATCCCAGAGTCCAAAGGTCGAAGAACCTGGGGTGGATGTCCAAGGGCAGACGGAAAGGAGCAAGCATCTCAGCAGAAAAAAGAGAGCCAGAAAACTCAGCAAGCTAAGCTATCCCACCTCCTTCCACCTGCTTTGTTCTAGCCGCAATGGTGGCTGATTGGGTGGGGCCCAACCACATTGAATATTCTCTCCCTGTTCACTGACTCAAATGTCAATCTCTTCTGGCAACACCCTCACAGATACACCCAGAAACAATGCTTCACCAGTCATCTAGGCATCTCTCAATCCAGCATGTTGATACCTAATATTAACCATCACACATGTATATAAATGAAATTAGTATTTAATGAAACTTCTTTTTTTTTTTTTTTTTAATTGGATTTTAGGTTTTGGGGTACATGAGCAGAGCATGCAAGACAGTTGCGTAGGTACACACATGGCAGTGTGCTTTTCTTTCCTTCTCCCCTTCACCCACATTTGGCATTTCTCCCCAGGCTATCCCTCCCTACCTCCCCCTCCCACTGGCCCTCCCCTTTTCCCCCCAGTAGACCCCAGTGTTTAGTACTCCCCTCCTTGTGTCCATGTGTTCTCATTTTTCATCACCCGCCTATGAGTGAGAATACGCGGTGTTTCATTTTCTGTTCTTGTGTCAGTTTGCTGAGGATGACGTTCTCCAGATTCATCCATGTCCCTACAAACGACACAAACTCATCATTTCTGATTGCTGCATAATATTCCATGGTGTATATGTGCCACATTTTTCCAATCCAGTCTATTATCAATGGGCATTTTGCTTGATTCCAGGTCTTTGCTATTGTAAACAGTGCTGCAATGAACATTCGTGTACATGTGTCCTTATAGTAGAACGATTTATAGTCTTTT